TCTTCTTCTTCTTCTTCTTCTTCTTCTTCTTCTTCTTCTTCTTCTTCTTTTTCTTCTTCTTCTTCTTCTTCTTCTTCTTTTTTTTTCTTATTTTGCTTCTTCTTCTTTATCTTCTTCTTCTTTTTTTTTCTTCTTCTTCTTCTTCTTCTTTTTCTTTCTTTTTCTTCTTCTTCTCTTCTTCTTCTTCTTCTTCTTTTCTTCTTCTTCTTCTTCTTTCTTCTTTTCTTCTTCTTCTTCTTCTTCTTCCTTCTTCTTCTTCTTCTTCTTCTTCTTCTTCTCTTCTTCTTCTTTCTTCTTCTTCTTCTTTTTTTTCTTCTTTTTCTTCTTCTTCTTCTTCTTTCTTCTTCTTCTTCTTCTTCTTCTTCTTCTTCTTCTTCTTCTTCTTCTTCTTCTTCTTCTTCTTCTTCTTCTCTTCTTCTTCTTCTTCTTCTTCTTCTTCTTTCTTCTTCTTCTTCTTTTTTCTTCTTCTTCTTCTTCTTCTTTCTTCTTCTTCTTCTTCTCTTCTTCTTCTTCTTCTTCTTTCTTCTTCTTCTTCTTCTTCTTTCTTCTTCTTCTTCTTCTTCTCTTCTTCTTCTTCTTCTTTTTCTTCTTCTTCTTTATCTTCTTCTTCTTTATCTTCTTCTACTTAATCTTCTTCTTCCTATCTTCTTTTTCTTCTTCTTCTTCTTTTTCTTTTTCTTTTTCTTCTTCTTCTTCTTCTTCTTCTTCTTCTTCTTCTTCTTCTTCTTCTTCTTCTTCTTCTTCTTCTTCTTCTTCTTCTTCTTCTTCTTCTTCTTCTTCTTCTTCTTCTTCTTCTTCTTCTTTTTTTTTTTTTTTCTTTTTCTTCTTCCTCTCCTTCTTCTTCCCCTTTTTCTTTTCTTCTTCTTCTTCTTCTTCTTCTTCTTCTTCTTCTTCTTCTTCTTCTTCTTCTTCTTCTTTTTCTTCTTCTTCTTCTTCTTTTTTTTTTTTTTTCTTATTTTGCTTCTTCTTCTTTATCTTCTTCTTCTTTTTTTTTCCTTCTTCTTCTTTTTCTTCTTTTTCTTCTTTTTCTTTTTCTTCTTCTTCTTCTTCTTCTTCTTCTTTTTCTTCTTCTTCTTCTTCTTCTTCTTCTTCTTCTTCTTCTTCTTCTTCTTCTTCTTCTTCTTCTTCTTCTTCTTCTTCTTCTTCTTCTTCTTCTTCTTCTTCTTCTTCTTCTTCTTCTTCTTCTTCTTCTTCTTCTTCTTTTTCTTCTTCTTTTTCTTCTTCTTCTTCTTTTTCTTCTTCTTCTTTTCTTTTTCTTCTTCATCTTCTTCTTCTTCTTCTTCTTCTTCTTCTTCTTCTTCTTCATCTTCTTCTTCTTCTTCTTCTTCTTCTTCTTCTTCTTCTTCTTCTTCTTCTTCTTCTTCTTCTACTTCCTATTATTATTATTATTTTTATTAATATTATTATTATTATTATCAAGTCCGTTCTGCCTCTCAGAGCCTGAGTGTTTGAAGAGGCATCGGGTGCGAGTCGCGTTTTCTTCTAATTATTTCTCGAGCAAGATTTAATTCAATGCCGGTTTGGTGGGCATGAAGAAATTCAAGAGAGTTTCCAACCAGATGGACCCCAAGCCACCTAGCTGCTAACCAACCAACAATGGACTATCTGTTACTTCGTACCTGTTTTCTGGTGCTCTGATATAACTACTATACGCCCATATGAAAAGGAAACTAACCACCTGTGAGATGCGATGTTCGAAAATGGCTGTGAATAAAACCAGAGGAGATCGAGTGAGAAACGACGTGATCCCAAGAACTGTTGGAACAACACCTGTCATCAGATTTGTTGAGAAATAGAGAATGAAAGGTTAGCCATCTAATTAAAATTAAACCAACGATACCAGTAGCAAGAGCGTACAACCTGAAAATCGAAACATCAAGAGGCAGGGTAAGACCGAAAAGAACATAGATTAAAGGAGTCATTGACACCTTGAGACTGCATAACATCACGGCATATCAAGCGACTGAGCGCGCCCTGGCTCGGCTGCCGATCGTCTGATGAACTGCAGATATTGACAAAAGAAGAAGACGCCCATAGGGTTGAATATGGTTTCCGGGATTTGCAGCTGTTTGATTCTCACCCTAGTATGCCCTACTGGTCGATGTCTTACTACTCATTTCCGACCTGCACTCTTCCAAAGAAGAGCTAGTCGACATTGACATTGCTCGCTTGCAGGGCCTGGCGTATGGACAAACGCTCAGGAATCTAACGCTCATGGATCTAACGTTCAGGAATCTAACGCTCATGAATCTCACGCTCAGGGATCTAACGCTCAGGAATCTATCTCTCAGGAATCTAACGCTCGGGAATCTAACGCTCGGGAATCTAATAGTCATGAATCTAACGTTCAGGAATCTAACGTTCAGGAATCTAACGCTCAGGAATCTAACGCTCATGAATCTAACGTTCAGGAATCTCACGCTCAGGAATCTAACGTTCAGGAATCTAAAGCTCATGAATCTCACGCTCAGGGATCTAACAGTCATGAATCTAACGTTCAGGAATCTAACGCTCAGGAATCTAACGCTTATGAATCTAACTTTCAGGGATCTAATGCTCAGGAATCTAACACCCATGAATCTAACGCTCAGCAATCTATCGCTCAGGAATTTAACGCTCAGGAATCTAACGCTCATGAATCTAACGCTCAGTAATCTACTGCTCAGGAATCTAACGCTCAGGAATCTAACGCTCAGGAATCTAACGCTCGGAAATCTATCCCATTACAACAATACATGCATATCGTTTGTCTTACAACATGGAACACATTGTTTATACAGAATACGAATTACTAAAGAAACGGTACCCGTTCCCCATCTACTATACCTGTTGTTGTTGTACTTTGTAATGAATTCATCAAGAGAGGAAAAAATCTGGTCGTGGTACCAAATTTTCTGGATTGTCCACTTAGATGGATCCGAACTGTTGGTTTCAACAAGGACAGAAAAGTCCAAAAAGTGAAGTGAAGAAAATGGTAGATCATACAGTGCATTCAGCCACACCAGTCTGAAAAGAAAAAAATATATATATTTATGCTGAATCAAATATTTTCAAAAACTATGCTGCAATGTCACCCGCTGCCACAAGGAAAACTTGGGATATCAAACTTGTCGACAGTGTGGACAAGACAGGGCCTGTTGGACATTTGTAAACTCACCGACTGCACAGATATGAGTTTACTATTGCCCTCATTTTTAAGGGAGCTATGTAGCGGCTGGCCGAGCAATTACAGCGTCGGGCTCTTGTGTGGGAGACCCAAGTTCAAGCCCCGGTGAGGTGATGGTGTTTTTCTATCAAGGCAAAAATTAAGCATTTTAACCTTCACAGTCTGTGGCGACAGCATTAGCCATGCGACCCAAAATTCTCCGGTTGACGACCACACCCCCCCCCCCCCCACCCCCACCCTGTCTATAGTGCCTACAAAGTAGTAAATACAAACAGCAGTGATATCTATGTCGCGAGGTATGTCATACTGTAGTCCAAGTCGAGTCTGTTGGCGTCTCACTGATAACAGTTTGTAGCCCAGATTTGAGGTTTCATGTATTTGTCTTATGCTTCTCTGGTGGCTTGGGTGATGGATTTGCTCATCTTTTTGCAGGTTTCAACGACACCATTTATCCATCTCTTTCTTGGTGTTCCTCGCATCCCTCCCTCCCCCCCCCCCCCCCAGATGATCTGCTGTAAACAGTCCATGTGAACTTTGGTCTGGCTGCGTTCTTATCAGATGGCCGAACCATCTCATTCTTGTCTGTCAGCATAACTCAGACAAGGTCTTATTCTAACTTACTCTCTAATTCTGGTTTTCTTAACTCTTTGCTTCTTGTGTTGTAAGTGGCCTTACGGACACAACCCACAGTCTAAAAATATGAAAACGTAGTCCCAACTGAATTTAGGTAAATTGTATCCCAGCAGGACATTGCACAAGCGATAAACACCCGGTCACACTGAGTGCCACCATGCGGATGAGGATCAGTCGTGGAAAGGTCCCTGAAACCCCGTTCAGCAATATTTTAGGCCCGGCTATATTTAGGGTAGTAGTAGTAATACATTTTACCCCACTAGGACATCACACAAGCGATAAACACCTGATGACACAAATTGCTACCATGTGGATGAGGATCACCTGTGGAGAGGTCCCAGAAACCGCGTTCAGCCATTAGACCATATTTATTGCCGGGCTATATTGCGGCCACTGACAAGAGCCAGAGTAGGGCTTCAAATAACAAAAAATTACATTCCTCAAAGGTACAGTAAGTAAAGTGGTCATAACTAAGGTTAATCACAAATCCTTTCTGTGTTTCCTATATTTATCAAAAATGAAGTGTTAACTCCTCCCAAACTGTGACCAATACACGGGTTACATTTGCATTTGCCATTATGACTAATTTAACTCACATTAACGGCCTAGGTTTTTTTTTTTTTTTTTTTTTTATTTCTCTTTTTATTGCGATAATCAGTAAAAGTAAACTTTCGCTGAAGTTAAATCAATTTGAATAATTTTTTTTCTATTATTCCCCTTGCAAAAGCAATTTAAAACCAAAATTATTTCTATCTTCCTTGAAACCACATATTTATATTTGTCTGTCTCCCAGATTATTATATACTGGTCGTAATATTACAGGGGATACCTCAGGTGCACTTAGGGGCGATGACTAAAGATACGGCAGCGGTGGAGACACAGATGAAGCCTTGCCTTGTTTTGCTGTGGGGGGGGGGGGGATCCCACGTTAAACAGCCTCCCCCGATGGGAAGCTTTTGGTTAACATTGCAAGGAAACGAGCGTAAACGGTCGCTTAAACAACTTGGCGAAGCTGCTGAAAGAGCTTCAAGCTGGCTCTGGGCGCAACGGAGCGTCGTGGGTGATGGGCCCCGGTAGACTGGTCCGAGTCCCTGGCGAAAAAGAGCTTCTTATCCCTTCAAAGCCAAAGTGTTCAATATATGTCCGCCAGTGTCTCTCTGCCAAATGCCAAAGTCTAACACGTGTCCGATGAACCAACCTTAAGGTCACTTGGTCGTTAATGTAGCCGGCTGGTCTAATTGGCTACCGCAGCGACAATGTATATAACTTCGAATCTCACAGTACCCATTGCATAGTCACCATTTCGTATTGTCCCTGTCCAAGAGTCCGAATAAGTGCAGCAGGCGAAGATCGAGGCCTGGCGTCATGACCCAGGTCGGCCCGTTCTCCGAGATTGTATAGGAGGTATTAGGCAGAAACAATTGTCGACAAGAGATCTTTCTACTGATGATCGGTGGACTCCTGCTGTACATGCTCCCCTGTGGAGTTCTTCTTATCAGTGACTTGGGTTATTTGCGCAATATAAAATGGCTTAACATTGCTTGCCACAAAGTATACATGAGAAGGACTCTTGCAGTGTAGATGCCATCACAGGAGGCAGACCCAAATACTAACCGGATTGACGACGAGGTCGTTTACTAACCAACCAAAAGCGACCCGGTTGCCGATAGACAAATAGGAAGTAGAAGACGGGATATTAAATATAGGGTTTAAGTTAGACTCATATTTTCACTAGGCCTATACATAGGGCACCAAGATATATAGGAGCAAGATGAGGTATGGGACGGTAGATAAAAACTTTATTTCGCTATCCAGGGCGAAGCCGTGCAATTAAATTTAGTATTTCAAAAACCAAAAATGTGGAACTACTGATATCTGAACTACGTATACTAGATAGGGTGGCCATACGTCCCGCTTTTACCGGTCCAGTCCCGTTTTTTTCCCCTGGTGTGTCTCGGCAGTCCTGTCAGTAGCGTAATTTGTCCCGTTTTTAAAAAAAATCAAAACTCGAGAACAGACTATACATTTATAGTTATATGTGTAAACTTTATTAGATTTTATATGTGTTAATACTTTTTTTTTAATGCTTGAAATGTGTTTGTGGGAATTTTCATTGTATTTTTTTTAAATTCAGTTAAAGAGCATATTGTTTCGTTTGTTTCTTGGCGGCAATTGTTCGGGTTTCATACAATTTTCGAGCAAGTAATTAACTCATTCAACCCGTTGACCTACACACACACACACGCGCGCGCGCGCGCGCACACACACACACACACACACACACACAAAGAAAAAAAGGGGAGGGGGCGTTTTCAACTAGGATATTATCGTCACTCTAATTTTGGAGCAAAGTTACACCCGTTAGAAAATATATAGCAGACGATACATCGTTTCGTCATACAAATAATTACAAAGTATTTACAAAGGATAACTGCCAAACTTCTTCTTCCGCGTTCGCCCTAAAAAGGGCGGTTGGAATATAGCAAACATACCTGGCACAAAATAACCATACCACAATTAAACCGATACAGCTCGCAGTAGGTTGAACGTGCTCGATTTTGTATTTCGTTTTTCATGAATAGACGTGCTATGGGTTAAAGTTGCGACATTTTCTGTTGTCGGCCCAGCCCATCCGATTTAAGCAATCCGTTGATTAGTCGTCTTTTAGTCATGCTTATTGAGGAGTCGGGTTCGATCCCAGCTGCGGGCCATGCGCCTTGCGTTGGTTTTGACAGCGGTATCAAGAAAGCTGACCGTCCAGAAATCAATGGCAAACTACTGGAGGTAAATTTGCCTAGAAAAACCACACAACAGCCAGGGGCTGTTGGGGTTGGTTCTGCAACGTCCTGTAAAGGATCCGCAACTAACCTTATCCCAGCTTCCCATGTTTCCATCCTTGTGAGGCCCCAGAACCGACACGGACAACTAACATTGAAAGTGAGTTTTTCACATAAAAATTGAAGGATTTTTTTCATACCGTTTAATAATTTAGGACATATATAATCTGACAGACTGTGGGAACAACGCCATGCAGCAAATTCAGTGAGAAAGAGAATATTTAATGGTTTGGTCATCTATTAAGATTGTAACCAGAACAACTATCAACGCGGGTGCTACACATGAAAAGATCTGATGAGTAATCAAGAGGCCGCCCTAGGAGAAGATGAACTAAAAAACATTTATGTACTTCTAAATCGATACGGAATGACAATTGCCATTGCTGCCCATCAAGCAATGGATCGCAAACCGTGGCTCCCCACGTAACTTAGCCGCTGAAGTGGTAATTGATGATAATCATTTCCTTTGATAAAACTGAGAATACTATAAATAATATTTTGGAACAAAAACTATCTACCAAATATGGCTCACTCGAGAAATAAAATAGTGGGCGACTGCAACAACAGTGACACGGTTTTATTAGAATGTGCGTATTTTTTTTTTTAAATAAGTAAATAAACGCGACAAACCTTGTGTTGATGTCCTCAATCAACCCTGTACCAACGGCAGCTGTGGTAAACTGCAAACAATCGCTCTTTAGTTGACATCCGGTAAACGTCTCGCCATAACTCTCCTTTAGAATAAAGCCAGCCTGATGACAAACAAACAAAAGCTCATAGTAAGTAAAGGCACGGCCGTCTCTATTTATAGTCCAACTATACACAGAAGGACCTGGTAAAGTAAAGGACCCGTTTCCACGCATTTCAGGCTTATTGGATATATAGGGCTGAATCTATATTTTATAGACCAACGGCACAAGATGGGTAATTTGGTCAGCATCACGCCGGCCGCCTTTACTTCCCAGGGCTGCACCAGGTACCCACTCAAGGCTGGGTCGAATTGGAAGATAAGGTCATTTTTGAAAAAAGTCCCGCTCCACTAAGAATCGAACCCACTACCTTCCGATCCGCAGGCGAGCGTCTAGCCGCTACCCCACGGCGACCCCCAATAGCTTATAGTATTTATTTTAATTTTGTATAGCTCCCGCACAGGAGGTTGGTCGTAGCGGATATTGGATTCCATAGCTGTTTTTGAAAATACTACGCTGCGAGGTCCGATCTGTTTCAGATTGCGACTCTAGTGCGGGTCTCTATGGGAACTTTTTGTTACCTTCCAGGACACTCCGGGGTAAGAGGGAATGAACGAGCGGATTGGCTTGCTGGCAGCGCCACGGTAAGTACAGGAAAATATTAGACCCCGTCGACATTCAAAGTGCTCTTAAGGAGGCAGGACGAGAACATGGTTCAGGAGAGGATGTTGAATCGGTAACACTTAAAAGACTACAAGCACGTCAGCTCAAAAGAGGTGTTGCCAAACATGAACACTACAGGTAGAATAGTAAAGCAACACAGAACTGGTGTCATCAGTGGCCAAACGCTGAGGACTATACTGAAGTTTTGATCCGAGAGCGTAGGGACTTGTCCGATGTGTAGTGACGATGATCGGTGGATTAGCTAACTCTTTCTTAGCTACTGATGTCCTTTACAGAACGTCGCTATCTTCAGGGCACGCCTAAAAGTTTCTTTCTCTAGCAAATTCTCCAGCCCTGTGTGCCGTCATGACCATGCATCTTCAATGTCCTCTATCCACATTCACGGTGGTCGGCCCCTGCCTCGTTTTCCGGAAACTGCATTCGCCATCCCCGTTCTCTCCAGACCACCATGACGCTTGAAATGTCCAAAATACCTCAGCTTTCGGGAGAGGATGCTGTGTACGAGCCAGCGGCGACTGAACTACTCACAACAACAACACAATCCAGAAACAACACTCATTAACACAAAAGACAGTAGCACAAGCAAAGCTGCTCAGTTGCATCTTGAACTGGTCATGTCTGGCCTTGATAACACACAGTTGGTACGAATAGGGTATTTAACAACTGCTCGTGTGCGTGTGTGTGTTGTGTGTGTGTGTGTGTGTGTGTGTATTTATGTGTGTATGTATGTGTAATTGATTTCACTTTACACACACACACACACATATAGAAAGAGAGAGAGGAGAGAGAGAGAGAGAGAGAGAGAGAGAAAGAAAGAGAGAGAGAGAGAGAGAGAAGAGCGAAAGAGAAAGAAAGAGCGCTAGAGGTATCAGGTGAAGATGTACTATAACCTACCCTTCTGTCCACTTCCCGCAGAATAACCGTCTCCATAGCTGCCGTCTCAAGGCCATTGAATGGCCTGAAACACACAGATTTGGCAAGGTATGAGTCGTACGCCTATAAACAACACACACGCATACACATACAGCAAATACATATATGCACGAAACATTTGTCTCTTTACTCACATTATCTGACTGTTTACTCGGCGTTGTTCTTCCACTTCTTGACTCCGGTCTTGTTCTACGACTTGAGTTTTGCGGACCATTCGGATGAGGATCACCCGGGTACAGGTCCCAGAGACCCCGTTCAACCCATAGGTTGGGTTATACTAGGGCTCCCGGCAACAGACAGGATGGGGCTATAAAACATCACACACAAAACTGCTTCCGACATTGGTAGAGTACATTTTACCCCACTAGGAAGGACATCGCGCAAGCGATAAACATCTGATGACACAAAGTGCCACCATGCGGATGAGGATCACCCGTGGAGAGGTTCCGGAATCCGCGCTTAGCCATTAGGCCATATTTATGGCAGGGCTATATTGTGGCCCCTTCAAGAGCCAGGGTGTGGCTTCAAAATTGCATCCCAGTTACATGGCAAATAATAACCTGCATTGGGACATTTCCTAGAAACAAAAGGAACGAAGAAATGACATTGATGTTAAGATAACATAAAGAAATTATGAAACCAACAAAATGGCAACGATATTAGCAACAATATATTATTGTAATGTTATACCAACCTGACAGAGAATTCAACCGGGTTTCGGAAGGTTGTCAGATTCAACAGATCACATCTGCTCACTTCAGGCAAGGGGCCGCAAATATATTCCTCTACAACTGCTGGAGATTTATCTCCCCTGAACATAATCACACGGGCTCGTCTTTCTGGCCGAGGACCTATGGATATATATATATATATATATATATATATATATATATATATATATATATATTATATATATATATATATATATATATATATATATATATATATATATATGGTGTTGTCGTGTTGAACAGCGACCGGGTCACCCATTGGCTTGCCGGTAGACGACTCCGTCGCCAGTCGGGACAGTATTTGGGTCGTCTTCTTTGATTGCACCAATTCTGCAGGAGTCCTTTTCAGGGCTCATGGGGGCGTGCAATGCTAAACTATTTCATATGGCGCACATAATCTAGTCATAATTACAACCTAAAGTTCCCCTTTGGGTATGCTGCTTGAAATGACGATTTTTTTTTTAGCAAAGCACCATGTTATCATGTTTTTTTTTTAAATCTTCTTGTTTTGTCAGTATCTGCTATTTTTTGCTATTAGGTATCTTGGTTTAGTCGACGATAGGTACCCTAGCCAGGGCATGCGTGGTTGCTTGGTTTGCTGTGATGTTGTGAAGTCTTAAGCTGTCAGTGACTCATTAACTCCGTCTTCTTTTCTTTTTCTGCTCCTTTTTTTTTCTTCTTCTTCTTCTTATTTTCTTCCTCTTCTTCTTCTTCTTCTTTTCTTCTTCTTCTACTTCTTTTTCTTCTTCTTTTTCTTTTTTCTTCTTCTTCTTCTTCTTCTTCTTCTTCTTCTTCTTCTTCTTCTTCTTCTTCTTCTTCTTCTTCTTCTTCTTCTTCTTCTTCTTCTTCTTCTTCTTCACGCTCAACGGTTGTAAAATCAAGCTGAAAGTTCTGTTTGTTCGTCCACTTCTGGACTTTAGTCTTTTTGCAAAGCTTGAGTGTTGAGTGTACATCCATTTTACAGATCCAACTTATTTGTGTGCGGGCTGTTTGTTCCTTGCCTCTAGGGCACATGCTCAGCGACTTCTAAGGAAACCCCCTAATTAGTCGACTCTTACGACATGCTTGTAAGTAAGGCAGTGGGTCTATTCTTGATTTCTTCACTTTAGGGCCCCAGAACTCACATGGGGAAATCTTGTAAGTCTCATTCTACCTCTTGCTGTTACAATTTTCATGTTGTATACACTCGCTGCAATCTTCTTTGGGTTCATTACCACTAGTTGGCCGAACCTTTTCAGTTTTTGTTTCTCAATTAGTTTAATTATGGGTATTATTATTCTTCTTATCTCTTCATTTCTCACACGATCTCTTCTTCTTTATAGTTGTCTTTTAAAAAGAAGGGCACTGGTTGTTCTGTGTCTGGATTTTTCTGTCCAGACCTTCACCTTGAGATTTGACTAACCAAGAGACTTTAAGAATTTTGTCCTTTCAGAGTCAATGTAAGTAAAAATCCCCTTTCACGCATTTAGGCACATCGGGCACATGGGAAGAGCACCCATTTTTTACAGACCAATCGGCACTAGTTGGGTAATGTGAACAGCATTACGCCAGTCGTCCTTACTTCCCCAGGACATACATGCTGGTACCCATTTTAGGTTTTGTCGACCTGTGACGCCCCATACTATGATAAAAATCCACGCAGCCAGCAGTGGGTTTCGATCGCGGTTTTTGGAATGACAAGTCGGACTCGCAATGCCTAAGCCACGGACGAAGCTTGGAGTCTATGTAGAAGTGGTAATTTTTCAGAAACATCCTTTTCAACCCTCTTGGTTATAATTGTGATTTAAAGTGTTCAGGAAGTTCTCAGAGTATTATCATCATCATCATCATCATCATCAAGTGCCTTGCCGACTGCCTCTCCACAATCTACGATCTCCTGCAGCATGTATTAGTTCGTGTGCTGACACACCTCCATGCCATGCAACAAGACTGTTAAGAATCTTCTCTCGTTGTCTTCCTCTATCCCTCCTTCTACATATCTTTCCAGTGGTCACAATATGTTCTATTTTCCCTCTTCTCATAACATGGCCGAAAAATGATGACTGTCTCCTTCTGATGACTGTGATTAGTTGTCTTCGGGCTCCCGCCTCTTTCAAAACCTCTTGGTTGCTCTTTTTGGCTGTTCAATGTATTCTAAGCATTCTTCTGTAAAACCACATCTCTGAGGCCTCAAGAAATTGCTTGGCCTGCCTAACGATTGTCCAGGATTCACAGCCATATGTTAAACTAGATGTTTGTAGCAAGCAAGAATTCTTTTTCTAACTCTCAAAGACAAAGATATATTGCACAAGATGTTCTTTATTTTATAAAATGAGAGTATATGAGTATATATCTCAGTATATGTTTGTTATTTTATATTTGTATATCGCGTAATTATTTGTATAAGACAGATATATAATTTGTATTCTTTAACATACTGCTTAGATTTGGTTTGTGATTGTGACAGAAAGTGTACTACCAAAAATTACACCAGTGGCTCTCAACATCCCCTCATGTTGTGGCCACCCCAGACAATTATTTTCTTTCATAACTTCAATAAATATCTCTTTTTCGATGGTCATACAAAAAGTAAAGTAAAGGACCCTTTTCCACGCCTTTAGGTGTATAGGGCATATAGGGCGAGACCTATAATTTATAGACCGCCTCTACTTCCCGGGACTGCACCCCGTACCCACTCAAGGCTGGGTGGAACTGGGAGCCAAGGTCATCGTTTAAGCCCATCAGGCATCATCTTGTCTTGATCTGCCTCTACCTTTTTCCCACTGATCTTTCCCGTTGTCACGATGTTCTCCAAAGTCTATCCTCTCATTATGTAGCCAAAGAACAGTGTTTATCTCCTTCTTATTGTAAAATAAAATATAGACGTGTATAAGACAACAACACCTACCAGCCCCATCCAAGAATTTCAAAACATCGGCCTTCTTGGGCAGAAAGACGTCTGCAGTAAAGATATAGCTGCTGCCAACACTGGCATTGTTAGACTTCTCTGCCCTGATATTTGGCTCTTTCTCTAGAAACGACCGCAGCTGAAAGTAGAATTAGGTCAGGGAATGAGGTGGGTTGTTATGTCGTAAGATATAATAATGGTAACCCACGTCACAAATAATATTCCTGAAGAAAAATATTAGGAAGGTTTTAAGTAGACTTAAAATATACTATACTCTTGCAAACTGTTACAATTAATACAAAGTCTATGTGGCGTTAATAAGCGAATAGTAATCGGCAAATGTAAGTATCCAATAAATGACCCTTCTTCGCGCCGTCGGGAGTCCCCGTGGCGGAACGGCTAGACACTCGCCGCGGATCGGAAGGTCGTGGGTTCGCTCCCTGGAGGAACTGGACTTTTTTCAAAAATGATCTTGGCTCCCAGGTCGACCCAGCCTTGAATGGGTACCGAGTGCAGTCCCGGGAAGTAAAGGCGACATCATCCATCTTGTGCCGATTGGTCTTTAAAAATATAGGCCTAACCCCTATATGCCCTATAACCTAAAGGCGTGGAAAAGGATCCTTTACTTTTTTTTACCTACTTTACGTCGTCAGGCGTATTGGGCGTATAGGTATAGACATATATTTTATAGACCAGTTGGCACTCGGTGACTAATATCAACATCATCTAGCTGCCTCTACTTTTCATGACTTTATCTAGTGCCCATATAAGGCTGGGTTGACCTGGGAGCCAAGATTATTTTTTTTAATCCGGCTCTGTCAGTTCCTGTACCGACGACCTGCAGCTGATCGTCTAGCCGTTACACCACAGTACTTCTTGAGAATCCATTGGCGAAAAACAACAGATAAAATATATCTCTCAATTTCAACCTGGACGAGTTTAACAGGGTATCGTTATTTAAATTACTACTAATAAGGCAATTAAAATAATATTTAAAAATAATTAAGGAAGATTTCTTTTATTTAATTTCTTTCACTGAAGCCAGGTTGTAGTTAGGTGTCGTGATTTTCTGTGTTTGTCTGAGCTTTTCTGGTGGATTTGTTCACCTTTTTTGCAGGTTTCAGCAACATCATTTATCCACTTCTTTCTTGGTCTTCTCACCCTCCTCCCAGATGTTCTGCTGTAAAAAGTCTCACATGCAGGTAAGTCTGGATGCATTCTCACTAGATGGCGGAGCTCTTTCATTGTTTGTCACTATAATCCAGACATGGTCTTATTCCAACGGGCTCTCTAATGCTGGTATTTGTATCTTTTTCTTTTGTTAGTGACCTTGCGGAGACAGTGCATTTCACATGTGGTTATTTTCTGTTGTACTGTCCGTTGTTGACATTGATAGCATAAAGCAGTGATGAAGATGCTATTAATTATTTGCTGTTTTGCTCGAAGGGAGACAATTTGGTGACTAAGCAGGAGGGCTAACTGTTATGTGACAGCATTTGCCTTCAATAATGAGGACAAGAACATGATATTGAGAAACTATTGCCTGGAATACTTCGCTGTTACCTCGCAATTTGCACAAACATACCAGCTAGCATACAAATCAATACCGTCAACCGATATACATAAATAATAGGGGCGACTGTTGCACCTAATTTTGAATGATGAATCAATATCACAGCACTCGGGACGCGCCCATAAGCAATCCGTCCCCATCTTCAGCAGCAAGCGAGGAGTTCCAATGCCGAGAGCACCAGTAACTGTCTGATTGAATATCCGTCTCGCCTTTCCCCTGAGTGTAGAGCGCTCCCCAGATCCCTTTGTAGCCCCTCGCAGCGCCATTCTTCCCAGACCTGAATGATCTCTCTGTGCCTCCGCACTGTTAAGTCGCTCCCAAAGAGCACCCACAGCATCCAGCTTGTCATACATCCCACCACCAAGCGTTGCAGAACCGGCCAGTCTATCTGCCTGCTCATTTCCTAACACACCGGCATTCCCTGGAGAAAATATCCAAAGGATTGCATTAATTGCAACGATTGTGCCTTCAGGGATATAACAATTCTTTTTCTTCTGCCTTGTATACTCCCAATGGAGCATAGGGCCTTAACCAACTCAGGCCAAGACGTTCTATCCTTTGCTATCGCAAACAGTTCACCACATGCTCTCCCCATCTTTTCAGTATTACTCTCTAGCCTCCGTCTCGGTGTGTGTGTATGTGTGTGTGTGTGTGTGTGTGTGCGCGCGCGCGCGTTTGTAATTGTGTGTTTGCTTTTATTTCTATGCCTCTATGAGTTCCAGTACAAAGACAATTGCATATCTAGATATCATAAATACTATTTTTCTTCTTTCTTCTTTTTCTGTTGTCCTAATAAGTGGACCAACAACCTACTTGGACGCCTCAGACAAGGAGCATGCAACAGAACTGCCAGAAATATTTCTCCACAGCCCTATGGTGGAGGAGCAGATGGATCACTACAGTCTGGCGAGATTGATGCAGCGGGGAGTGACGAGATGTTCCGGCAAATGCTCGAGGCTCAGAGGAAACGCAAGACAGACGTTTAATCAGAAGGCTACAGGCACCATTAGTATCGGAACTCTTACCTGGCTGCTGAAGATGGATACGGGGTGCTTATGTGAATGCCCCGAGTACTGTGATGTCGGTTCTTGAATCAAATCTGTTGTCCTATTGTTTATGCTGTAAAGCATCCCAGAAAGGGGTTAGATGTTGTCTCCGTCTTTTGCTGGTTGTGTAGCTTGCGTTAATGTCATATTGTGTTTCTGCATTGTCTCTTTAACTCCCTCCATCCATATCTTTCTTGGTCAGCCTCTTGCCTTGTAGCATGCTGATCAGATGACCAAACCATTTTACTCTTCAAAATCATATACGGGTACTGTGATTATCAGTGACCTTAGTTCATCGTTAGTGACTGTCTCTCCTTGTTGTTCCCGGTGCACTTCTTATACATCCTCGTTTGGCTTGGAGAAAAGGCTTCACAGTACAATACCTGGCGTACCAGGCGCTCGATTTACGCAGCAGGTGGTTTAGAAAAAAGACCATTTTTGTGACTAATGTTCTCGAAGAATGTATTGGATGCGCCGCAGACAACCTGGAAGATGTGGAAGGGGGGGGGGGAGGGGGGGGGGGGGACCACACATTGGTGGTAAAATTACAATACTTTCAAATATAAAACTTTCCACATATCCAGATGGGTTGAAAAGGATATTTTTGGTTAAATTACTGCAACTAGTGGATTTTTATCGTGGTATGGGACGTCGCAGGTCGACCCAGCCTCAAGTGGGTACTAGGATGGGCTGTCTTGGGAAAGTAAAGACCGCCGGCGTAATGCTGACCACATTACCCACCGAGTGCCGATTGGTCTGTAAAAATATGGGTGCTCTTCACATATGCCCGATGCGCCTAAGGGCGTGTAAAGGGATCTTTACTTTTTTTTTTTTACTTTACTACTTATACATCTGGAGAGCCGCCGCATTGTGGCAGCGAAACACTCGCCTGCGGATCGGAATGTCGTGGGTTTGGGTCCTATTTTTACCGAAAATGACCTTGGCTCCCAGGTCGACCTAGACTTGAGTTAGTATCAGTTATAGTCCCGGGAAGTAAGGGCGGCCGGTGTAATGTTGACAACGTACCCACCAGTTCCCATTGGCCTATAAAATATAAGTCTAGCCTTTTTGTCGTATACGTATAAAGGCGTGGATAAAGAATCCAGCTATCTTCCGAATAACGGTCGCAAAAGATGGCGGCCAAAAATAGGGCCTCAATCACGTGTCAATTGCGCACTTCCGCTCACGCGGCGTGGATTGGGGCTAAACTAGATGGCTAGGACTCAGGAGCAAAACTGCAGGAGATGCGGAAGCTGCTGCTCGTGAGTCCCAGCCATCTAGTTTAGCCCCAATCCAAGCCGCGTGAGCGGCGTGGGGAATACCTCTCGGCGGTGGCGGTAGTCGCCAGAAAACTGCAAATTAGGTCGCCGGAAGTGCGCAATTGACACGTGACTGAGGCTCTGTTAGGGTGTTTTTGCGGATGCCATCTTTTGTGCCCGTTATTCGAAGGATAACCAATGATCCTTCACTTATACATCTTATTTTACTTACACATCTAATCTGGCGTGTTGTAATTTAGTATTTATATCAGCTGTCGTAGTCGAAGCTTCCATTTCACCGTTCCTGTGCTAGTGCAAATCAAATGAAATATCCCACGCTATTCCAGGAGGAGAAAAAAACTGCTGAACAAATGATTTGTCGCGGCACAATCCAGAAAAATGTGTACGTAGTAAATGCATATGGTAGTTGCTAGAGGCGCCGAAGCCAACAGTCGCCACGAGAAATGCAGGTTGTCGTTGATGGGAGATGTTGAATACAACAAGTTTGCTAAATACACGTACAATTATTTACATAAGGTATTTCAACAGCCCACACGTAAACCGGCTACCGGCCATATTGAATACCACAACTCAACTGCTGTACAAATGAAAGGCATTCCATGTGAAAAACAGCTCAAAGAGCTTCATTTAGAATCAGTAAGTTACTAAACTTAGTAGCTCAGGCATCGAAATCGTAGACTTCCCTCTAAATGTAGAAACTACATTAGCAAAGCGCCGTCGGAAGCAAAAATAACTTCGAAGCTGAATATTCTGTCATGCCTAGTTCTCTATATTGGACCGGAAGTCTTATATCAACTGCTCTATTTTTAAACGTGTTTAGCCAAATATGCCGCATGCTCCATGTCGCGAAGAGCTCTTTACTTTCACTTACTGCCTACTTACCTTAATTAACTCAGTACGAGTTAGATCGTGGAATGGACCAGGCTCGTTTGGTTCGCTGATATCAACAACGTAGTTATTAGGATTCTGGCCGCTGCTTTTTGCTGTCATCAAGACACATGCCAGTGTGGCAAGGAAGAAAGGGCTGTCCAAAACTATCATTGTCTTTCGTACCAGAACATTAAGTCCTAAAGCCAAAGAAAATATATCGTCATAAGACAGTACACCGGTACTTTCAATTACTAAAGACACAATTTATTGCACAAGTTATTGTCTGGCAAATAACGCAGTATTTTTTCTTAGACTTTTCCATGGCTAGAAAGTTGTTACACTGGGACCCACGAGAACACTGAAATAAAGGCAGACCAAAAAAAAACCATATGCACACAAAGATGGGAACTAGAGTGTGAAGTTTAAAATATGGGGTCGGACATGGGGTGAGCTGCGTGCAATAGCAAAGGGTCGGACGACTTGGTGTCAGTTTGTTGAGAGTCTATTCTCCACTGGCAGGTAAAACGAAAAAGAAGAAGACAACAGAGAATCTCCTCAGGTGAGTGCATTACTTCTATTTTTTATTTTCAAATTAGAAATGCGTTTAGTATTTCTTGCTGCACTGTACATCTCATCTAATGAGACACATCAAAATATGTCGACAAATATATTGTAGGACACACGGGCTGTATCGAAATATGTCGACAAATATATTGTAGGACACACGGGCTGTATCGAAATATGTCGACAAATATATTGTAGGACACACGGGCTGTATCGAAATATGTCGACAAATATATTGTAGGACACACGGGCTGTATCGAAATATGTCGACAAATATATTGTAGGACACACGGGCTGTATCGAAATATGTCGACAAATATATTGTAGGACACACGGGCTGTATCGAAATATGTCGACAAATATATTGTAGGACACACGGGCTGTATCGAAATATGTCGACAAATATATTGTAGGACACACGGGCTGTATCCTCCTTAGTGAATATATTTAAAACTGTTGGATGAAACATCAAAGAAGTCTGATTTTATAATGACACTTCTCCTTTTACTTTCACGGGCTGTACACTTCGGCAGAATGTTCTAGTTGTTCGTCCACTTTAGGCAGATGCATTTCGACTTTAAAGGAAACATCCCCTGATTAATCGCCTTCTACGACATGCTTGTTAGGGGTATTTTAGGTCTTTTCTTTCTCCCCAAAATGGGGCCATAGATCCCATATGACAGTGTTTCCCAAACTTGTCTTAGTCGCTGGGCTTTTTTTTAATTAAAATGTTTCTACGGCGGGCCTGTAAAGAGGTCGCGGCTCTCCGGGTGTTACGGCGTACAGTTTGGGAATCACTGCCATGTGGGGTAAATGACAGCTAAGAGCAAAAAATGTCCCCCCCCCCCCCCCCCCCCCCCCAAAAAAAATGAATATTAAATTATCTTCTTTACGCGCACATTTTAAGAGTAAATATTATTCTCTTTAGGTTTGAGTTTTGCCTGCTAAGGTCAACACGTATGGTTATCATAAAAAGGATAAAAAGTAGAAGCAGCCGACGCCGACGACAGAGGAGGGGGGAGAAGAAGAAGAAGAAGAAGAAGAAGAAGAAGAAGAAGAAGAAGAAGAAGAAGAAGAAGAAGAAGAAGAAGAAGAAGAAGAAGAAAAGAAGAGGAAGAATATGGCTGTAAAGTTTAATGGGATTTCTGGGATTTGTATCTGTTTGATTCTCATTCTTAGATTGTTAATCCTAGAAGATTCAAATCGGGAAGGGGTAACTAGGGGTGTTGGGGGGAGGGGGGGGGGCTAAAAACATCCAATCCGTCCTCGCCATACCAGAGTTTGATCCCACGGCGGTAGGTTTAGAAACAGATTAGTCTAGCGGCTTATATTCCAAAAGACAGTATAGTATGCACTGAAGTTAATTACTGTTGTGGATACGTTATTAGAACGGAGACACATTTGAGGCAAATGTATTTTGTATATGACAGTATACTTTCAAAAATAAAATTAGGTTTTTAAACAACAACTTGCTGAAATAATGTAGCAATGCGTGCGTAAACTCCAAATATAATAAAATTTAACTATACAGGGAATGTGTTATACTCCATACCGTGCTAAGAAACAAAAATCTGTACAGAAATGACTTCTTTAAAAAAAGCTATTCTCTCTTTTATACGGTTTTCAAACGAACTGCTCGAGAGAGTGAATTTGAAGACTGAAAAAGGGGAACTAATTAAGAGAGCAACTGTTAAAAAACAAAAACTGTGATCTTTACGACCAGAAAAATATATAAACTGTAAAGTTAATTAAAATTATTTTAAAGCTGCCTCTTGAGGTAGATAATCAATTAACATAAGAAAGATATTTTTAGCCTAGCGTTGCTAATTAAGAGTAGCGGCTGGCCGAACGGTTGGAACGCTGGGCTCTCACCATTGTGTTTATTTAGTGCAAATAATTAGTCTTATGTAAAACTTTCCCGAAACATCCGTATATTCCACGATAAGCTGCATAGGCGGATTTGCTCCTCCGGAGTTTCTTGCTTTCTTGTCAGTTCCACACATTGTGGTCTTTCGTGGCAAACCATCCTGCAATTTCTCTTTCTGTCGAATGTGTTTTCAGCTCACTATCTGACACTGGGCATTGTTTAACCCCTATCTTCTTCTTCTTCTTCTTCTTCTTCTTTTTCTTCTTCTTCTTCTTTTTCTTTTTTATTCTTGTGTATGCACTTTATTCTTTTGCTCCTTCTTGTTCATCTCCGTTTACCACTAAACTGTAGTTCGCACGTTGTGTATTGTATACAGCTTTGCTATCTGCGCCTTTTGATGCAACACATCCGATTTCAGCAAATCCATGACAGTCGACTTTTACGACATGCTTGTTAGGGAGGTGGAGGTGGTGGGTCTCCTCCTCCCTATCTCATCCACAATGGCATCCTGTAACACACTCGATTGGAACACGCCTGAAACTGAACCCACACAATTGCACAATGTTATTCACTTCCTGGGGAGAGGCTGGGGTTAAAGGTAGGGGGGAGGGATATTGAGTGTCTTCAGAATCTGAAAATTGTGAAGAAATTCTTTGATGTTATTAAACAACATTATCCCGCCCCCCCCCCCTTTTTTTTTCTCCCTTTTCCGAAGGTTCATGGACCCTCATTTTGGAAGTGAGTTGGGAGACAAAAGTCCTACTGCCTCCCATCAAGCATGTCGTAGTAGTAAAATAATTAAGGCTTTCCTTCTATGCCGGAGTACAGTACATGAGAGTATGCCTGAGAGGCGAGGAACTTTCAACATACAAATAAGTCAGATCTGTAAAACGGATGTGCTTGCACAAATCAGATTCAGGAACAAGACAGAACTCCGGCGACAATCTCCGGGGATCTCTGTAAAAATTGCATTCGTGAACTGAACGGCGCCGCCAACAAACGATCCCGCGTCCTTCGGAGCGCCAGGCAAACAAACGGCTTGACCACCTCGCCACAGAGACACCAATTTAAAAAAAAAAAAAAAACTTTTGGAGCTGCGGGGTATCGATCCCCGTACCTCTCACAAGCTAAGCGAGCGCTCTCGCATCTGAGCTACAGCCCCGGCATAGAAAAATGAATTCTGAAAGAACAAATAAATGAACTGACCAGTAGGACTGTGTATTCGTGAGTGGTCTGATTGAAATTTAAATTTCGACTAGGACTTAATTACTAAGGACAGCCACGGCCTTCTCTATTTACAGACGGCGTTGAGACAGCCTAGGTTTAAAAGTTCACGAAATGTTGAATATAACACAAATATTGACTAGAAAGTACAACAGAATGTATGGCAAAGACGAACACAAACTAACGTTTCGACCAAAGTCTTTTTTTTTTCCAACGGAATACTAAATAGCGCACAAACTTAATCAGCAGGACTGCCAATCCTTGTCCTTCCCCCCCCCCCTTTTTTTTTTTTCACCCGTCACAGGTCTGGGTTTTATATAACGCTTTGGGTTCTGTTTTTTTTTTTTAATTCTGTTTTTTTTTTTTTTTTTATATATATCCTTAAATAAAAGTTGGTCAATCCTTCATTTCGTTTGTCCTGTAACTTCGTACGGGGCTGTAGCTCAAATGGTAGAGCGCTCGCTTAGCATGTGAGAGGTACGGGGATCGATACCCCGCAGCTCCAAAATATTTTTTTTTTCATAGTTTTATGCGGGGTTTTTTTGCTCGTGTATTGTTTTAGTGTTTTGGTCATCTTAGATTAGGTTTAAAAAAAAATTAATTGATAAACCTGTTCACCAGGCGGCACAATTGGTAAGGGGATTTAATCTGTTTCCGGTATCCATGATGCGACTGCGAGCGGTCCTTTCAAGTATCTGTTACATGATGATAGTACACCTGTGAACGTGACCAGCATGTATTCTACTTCTTTGTGTTCACGGTGGAAAGTTCTGGTTGTTCGTCCACTTCTTATCGTCACTCTTGTTCCAGATGTTGAGTTGTTCATGCTCATCTGCTTCACAAATCCGGCTTATATGTATGCAGACCGTTTGTTCTTCACATATGAGGCAGATGCACTTCAAAGAAAATACTTATTATTCTCCTTCTACGAAATGCCTTAACATTCAATTGAAGAATAACTTGTGTAACATAGAAAGATACATCTATTGTTTATGGTGTCGTGCCCCCCCCCCCCGCCCCCAATTCGCCAATAACGGTTGTTACCGCAAGATTTAACGGTCACGTTTCCCTACCCAGCTATACAATGGCTGACCTTAAATTCATACTTTATCAGACTGTACGTCAGAGGGGTGTTGTTGTCTTGCCTCCAGTTACACAATTACATCAGCGCTGACGTGGCGTATTCTATACTACACGACGACACAGCTTTTAACGACCCCGCAACGTATAGAACTGCCCCCCTCACCCCAACCCACAGCTTGAGCCACGTCCGGCTGTATATTTATATATAGAGTTGGCCGTGCTTGAGGGTATTGTTGCCTCTGAGGAGCCGGGGGGGGGGGGAGGGGTGACCTTTGAACTTTATCAAATTTAGCGCATAAAAATACTGCTATGAAACATACACATGTCATACATAACATAAATATAAATGATTGATGGTTATTGTTATTTTTAGTAGACTACTACAACATAAAATTATACGTTATTTAATAATTAGTAAACAATCATAATCAGT